GGTGCGCCCAACTAGGTCGCCCTGAACGTGAGCAAATCAAGAAAATGAGTTCAGATCACTTCTTATGGAAAACTATGATAAATGAATCAACTGACTACAAATGTGTGAGAAATTAAAAAAAACCTATTAGAATAGATGGCAGAGTACATTAGATGATGAATAGCACAAATAAGTAAAAATCCTATTTTTTAATTAGTAGTGACTGCAAGAGAAGAATAAATCTGAATGGAATATAATAAAGAATAACCTTAGATACTTGGATAAATGGTCGAAGAAAATTGACTATTATTGGATACAGATAAAAAAGTAAATAATGATAAAGAAGACCAAAGTGACGCCAAACGAAATATGATTACTAGTATCACATAAAAGGTTGGGCAACTTAAGTTCCTACAAATAAGAAAATACATAATAGATACACACACATATATATCTATACAAAGATTCATAAAATGCCAACAGTTTAAATAAGGAAAAATAAAATATATCATATAAATTTGCTAACCTGGAGCCAAAGCCCTTAGAATAGGGTGAGGCCATGACTTTTTTGAGGAATAGAATGGGTAAGATTCAAGTTTGCCATCACTACTAAGTGGCTCATCAATTTCTATATCGTGTCCTACAAAAGTGTCTTCCGATTGTTCTACTTTATCAAAGTACCCAGCAGTTTCCAGTTCCTCAATAGTTCGTGTCGCCGTCCAAAATTGCTTTTTAGTCGCCATAAATTCCATCGGGACGCCGGAGAGAATCGAGACAGTTAAAGATTTGAGGCCTGGGCCCATACAATTCCGTTCGCAAAGAACCTGCGAGAGGAAGAGTAAACAATCCAGAATTTAATACAAATTCAATTTGATGAGCTATATATGAAAAATGGATAAAATTTTAATCGATGAACCAGGTAATAGACATGTAATCAACTTGCCAGAACTAATTAGTAAAAACTAAATTAAGAAAGCTATTTTCACACTTAAGAAATAATATATTCAATTAATTGGCGATAAAGCGTGTCAACTGGCAGGGATGCAAATAATAGGGTAAACTAATACCAAATAAATTCATGTTGGAGTAGCATTCATTTCGTTTGAAGAGGCGAGTTAAAGGTATTCGTAAGTTGATCCCACTGGAGGCTGTGGGGCAGTTGCCTTGAAGCTGTGGTTGTAGATTTATGCTAATAGATCCCCGGCACACCGCC